GAGGGGAGGGAGGAGAGGGGAGAGGAAAGAGTTTCAAGCAGATTAGCTATGAGATTTTCAGAAAGAGAGAAAGAGAGGTGGAAAACGAGATTAGATGATTCTTATAATCCAGTAGGACTGTAAATACGAGGATGTCATGAATTTTATGATGTACTTGCAGTGTATATTTCACGCGTTTTTTTTTTTTTGCATTTCCCAAGCAAGCATGAGTGATCGTTTGAAAGTTGTACCATTCATTTCCGTCAAAGGGCGTGTACAGCAGGCACGATTCAAGGGCAATGGTGAGGTAGCAGGGATGGAGGGAGAGTTCGTTCTGAAGGGGTATGACTCACTTCTCCCATGGGAATGGAGTAAACTTCTTCCTTGCTTCCTCTGAGAACTTCTTGTCTCGCAAGTTGAGCATGTCTACATGTTAGTCGTCAGTCCCAGGCTCCTCATCCTCGTGTGCAGCAGCTCGCACTCACCCTTCTGAAGGGCTGGGGGGATGAAGAAGCCCCCTGCCGCCATCTTCTCGGTCCTAGCGCAGTGCTCTGGCTCACCGGCGGTCCAGATGCGGCCGGGCCCCTGAGCATGCCGGTCAGGATCAACTTCTGACTCTGACCCTCTCGCAACCTTGGGATCCTTCTTGGACGATCGCACGGCACGTAGGAAGTTACCAGCGTTCTTCTGTTGGAGGGAGGAGAGGTCAATCAGGGGCTAGCAGTAGGATCCAGCCCCCTGAGGCAAGCTCACCTTGAACGTCGGGAGGTCGCACATGGACTCTATGTCGATGGCCAAGAAGATGTGGCCGAGAGGCATGGGCTTCTTCGCTCCGGTCTTGCGGTCTGCCGTGACATCAGCACTCAGATTGATGCTAGTTACATACTGGCATACCAACACCAGCGAGTTCCTCTCCGAACGGCCCGCTCTGGAAAGCCGTGCAGAGAAGCTCGACTGTAGCGGCCCATCCATATCCCTTATAGCCTCCCATCTCATCTCCAGCTCCTCCGACAGGGCACAGCGCTGCTCTGCCTTTGACAAGGTCTTGGAGAATTCCCTCTGTGTCGGTTCGCTCGTTTCCGTCGAGGTCGATCACCTGCCCGCGCGGGGTGGGCTTGCCCTCTCGGCCGTACCTCTCAATCTTGCCTCTCTGATTGACCGAGGTGGCGCTGGAGGACGTCAGGGGCAGCGAGAGGAAGTTTGCAGCATCACCAGTCAATCACAAAGGGAAATTCTTCATCAGTCGGAATTCCAAAGCACAGAGGGTTGGTGCCCATCATTCCCTCGACGCCGAAGGTCGGCTGGAAAATCATTTAGTAGATTACGAGATTGAAAGCGAAGACTGACGGCAATGGAAGGTCTTGCGTTTGTAGTAGAGAATCCCACGCATCCAGCCTGCAAGCGCGTCAAGAGCTGTCACTGTGAGCTGTAGAGTGTCACTTGAGTGGCCATGGTAGCGTAGTATCCAGCAATGCCATAATGGGTAGAATTTTGAACGATGACACAACCGATTCCTGCAAAATCAAGCATCAGAAAGCTATCACCAAGAGCAGGATGAAAGAGAATGAAACAAGTCATGAAGGTTCTGTGCTCAGTGGAGGGATGGAAACAAGAAGTTCGTGAATAACCGTGCTTCTTTGCTTTGTCAATTGCCATCTTCATGCAAGCCGGACCAATAGTCAATCCCAAGCCGTTGTTTCCATCAACCTAGTGAGCCAGGTTAGTTTCGCTTGATGGATCTCTGATATGCAGACAATGGCCGTCGCATCGTTGTCCTTGATAATCGTGAGAGGGGCAGTGGACCTCAAGATCCCGTCGTCCAGGCGATCACAATAGATCGGTTTGAGACGCCCTACAGTCAAGGAATCAACTCCTTCTTCACCCTCGTGTACTCGCGTACCGATGCCATGGCTGCTGATTCCACGCTTATCAGCCTCAATAAGCACATCAGCTGCAGTGTTCGCCTCGTCTTCTGGAACGCCATACTAGGGAAGAATCAGATTCCAGGAGCTGAGCCAGTAGATCATCAGACCTGTCGGAAGGTCTCGATCATGAAACTAGTCATGTAGTCGAAGTCCACTTTGACACTGCAGCAACCAAATTCATCGAAGCCCCTCTTGCTGCTTGCAGCACCCACCTCCCAGCGACGGGATCGTCTTTGGTGGGATACCAATCCTTGGACCATGTCTTGCTAGTCTATAACGCCAGTCTCAACATACGCCAAATAAATCATATCAAGTCGCACTTTTGTTGGGTGCAATTTGTCATATTCTGCACATGTCAAGTGAGATATTCCAACCTCAGAAGCCAAATCTATGTACCCGCTCGCAGTTCCGGTGTCAGTTTTGAGAGAAATGACTGACAGGAGCGCGTTAAAACTTTACTCTCAGGTGTCACCACCAAGTACCTGTATATCAGCAGAGGCCACCACTGCAAAAAGACAGTTCAATGTCAGATGCAGTCAAAGCTACAGATACTGTCTTCAAATATACTCTTTACACAAATATCACACACGATGTCGCTCTGCACATATAACTACACATTCATTCACGCTTAGAGTGACATGATGACCCCGAAAATGCTTGTTATTGATTGTACAGGTACATGATCTACACTTTTTATTGCATTCTCACGCAGATCATTTTGACATACATGCTCGTCATCCCTCTTTCTCAGGCCTGCTCTCTGCTGCTTTCAGGCAAAGCCCCTCCCTCTCTTGCTCATTTTTAACCCAAGAATCAAGCAAACTCTTCATCTTCTGTCTCGGAATGGGTTCTCATTTTCTCGCATTTCTTTGCATGTACATGTTCTCACTCATGCCTCGATTGAATCATCTATTTCTCCCTGCCATCATTCCTTCTGATATGCCATTTCCTTCGCAGCATGCATCTCTCCTTGTTCACAGTCTTGTTTCGTGACTCCAAGCCCTCCTTTCCCTCCCTCAACCTCCAGCCATACCGGTGGCGGCGATCGCAAGTAACACCAGGCGCAGCAGCATTGCGACTGAAGGGATCAGGTTCCGGCAGGTGGAGGGAGGGTGGGTGGGTAGGGGAGTGAGGCATAACCAGGGGTACTTCATATAGAATAGGAGGGGTGTTGAGAGGAGGTCATCAAATTACAACGGGTTATCGGTGCACGAAACGTGTCGTATCAGGGTAGGGTAAAAAAGGTGGGGTATTCTCAGTGTATATCAGGGGTACATAGAAAATCCGGAGAACTATGGTAGGGAGGGGGTGGGGTCCCTCAGATGCGACTCTCGAGGCCCACATCCCCACGATGAATGACTACCGAGATTGTTCGAAAGTTTGAACTTTGATATTGAAAATTGAAAAATGCCAGGAAATATTCATTCTTGTATTAGGGTTGATAGTATTCCATGCTGCCCCAATAGTTTTGATTGAAATTAATTTGAGGCGGATCTGCCTTTTTTTTCGCCATGGATAGCGCTGATGGAGTGGGAGGCTGAGCAATGGTTGTTTTCGGTAGGCCCTGCCATGACCTCTAGTCACCTCCTCCTGCCATCAGCAGATCTCAAGGATTCCTGTACGACAACTCCTCTCCACCATCCTCTTGAGGCTTTCCTGAGGTGAAAGAACACTCTGCCATGGCGTTGGTAGGGAAAGGAGATGTGAAGGAGGAGGGTACTGAGAAGAGGAGGAAGCAGTGGGGACCAGGCCTCCGGATACAATTCATCCCACCTCCTCCTGGCAGGACCGCTGGACGGAAATGTAAGGATGGTCGATGGCAAGGGCAGTTTCATCTGTTCCAACCGACCGGGAGGGGAATCATGTATTACGACACCGGCGATCGGTATGAGGGGACGATGAGCTATGGGAAGAGAGAGTCCGAGACGAAGGGGAACTTTCTCAAGGGAACCTACTTCTTCGCCAACGGATCCAAGTACCAAGGGCAGCACTCCAAGGATATGTTCCACGGCAAGGGCAAGTACTGGTTCCCCGATGGGTCGTCGTTCGAGGAGACGTGGCAGAAGGACACGACCGTCATCTCGAACCATGAGTTCAAGAATGGCAGCGTGTACAGCGGCAGCGTGAGGAAGGGGAGGCTGGAAGGGGAGGGGGTGCTGCTGTTTCCCGATGGTGACGAGTACCGAGGAGTCTGGCAGCGCGATCACTTTCATGGGAAGGGAGTATACCGCAGCAGGTCGGGGGACTGGTACGAAGGAACGTTTGCGGAGGGAGGAAAGGACAAGTTGGGGTCGAGAGGAGAGAAGGGAGCAGGGAAGGGACTGGCTTCGCTGACTGATGGTGATGTGTATTACGGGTCTTTCAACGCAGGTGTGCCCGACGGTAAAGGGAACGTGCTGTTTGCCGATGGAGGCATGCTGGAGGCGACCTTCGAGCATGGGAAATGCGTGGGGAGACGAACGTTTGCCAACGGTGATGTGTACGAAGGAGAGTTCAGGATGAATGAGCCGCATGGCGAGGGAAGCTTCACATTCAGGGACGGGACAGTCTGCACAACAACGTTCGATTCCGCGTCCTTCTCCTTCGAGCGGAGGAACGGGAAGGTGCTCGAGTCAGGCGTGCACCGGAATGGGATACTGCATGGGCCAGGATGCCGAGTCACAGAGAAGGAGAGCTACTCGGGGGAGTTCTACCAGTCGCTCTACTACGGGAGGGGGACGCTGGAAGTGGCAGAAAGGAATCTCAAGTACGAGGGGGAGTTTGTTGCGGGGAAGTTTGGAGGATACGGCAAGCTCCTCTACGGTCTTCATCCTCCTGGGCTGGACCCCGAGAGCGAGGAAGCGAAGTGCTATGGGGTCAGCGCGAAGCTCCCCGGGTGTGGGGTGCTGCCGGAAGGGTGTGAGTACGAAGGGGAGTTCGTGCATGGAATGAGGCAGGGGAAGGGAGAGTTCAGGAGCAAGGAGGAGAGCTACGTTGGGGAGTTTGATGAGGACATGTACCATGGGAAGGGGTTGTGGACTTGTCATACCGACTCCACAGCATGGAGTGCGGGGAGCAGCTACGAGGGGGAGTGGGTGTGCGGGAGGAGGGATGGGATGGGAAAGTACGTGAGCGATGTAGGGTACACTTACGAGGGGAGCTGGATGAGGGGGTTGAAGCACGGGGAGGGGCTAGAGAGAACGGTTCCCCCGGGAGGAAGCGGCATCTACAGCGGGGAGTTCTTCCTGGACCTGCGGCATGGGAAGGGAGCGATGAGATATGACTACGGGGGGATCTACGAAGGAGAATGGAAGCTGGGGAGGAGAGAGGGAAAGGGGACGGAAGTTTTTATCTCGGGAGGGAAGTACGAGGGGGAGTACTACAACGATCTGATGAACGGGAGCGGGTGCTACACCGTCCCGCCGGTCACCGTTGAGGAGCAGCGGAGGGCGTACAGGCTGCAGATGCTGGCGCGGGGGGAGCAGGTGCTGAAGATGACAGACAGGCTGATCGATGAAGCGGAAGTGCTGAGAGCGAAGAGCTTTCTGAGCATGGCGGAGATGTACTTCTCCTCTGCTGGGTACATCGATCCTCCTCCCCCCCAGCTCGTACATCAGCTGGGGCGAACGCTCGATGGTGGGTTCGCAGGATGCACGTCCCCCCTGCTGAGAGCGACTGACCCTGAGAGCCGAGCGAAGGACATGGGTGAGACGATTCTATCCTCTTGTTACTTGGGGTGGAGGTGGGGAGGAGAAGTAAGGAGAAGCAGGGGGGGAGAGCGAGGGGGGGGTTATGGAGGAGGAAGGAGAAGGACGAGGAGGGGGAGGAGAAGGAAGAGGGAGGAGGAGCACGAGGAGGAGGAGGACGAGCAAGACGAGGCAGCACGATTGAGAATCAGAGAGGGAGGAGGGAGGGGCAGGAGGGGCGAGTGAGGTTGATGCAGGTCTTCTGAGAGAGAGGTTGTCGCACGCCGTCGGAGAAGTTCTTGAGGGAGAGAAGACAAACATGCAGAGAGGAAGTCAACATGAGACATCCGCCGCCTTCATCGCCAACCTGGTGAGCCCCGGTGTTCATCTTGTGCTGGGGTGTGTTGCTAGTCGTCAGCGATCTGCTGTGAACATGTGAAGCTGTCGAGTTGCTCCTTTCCTGTCCTGTCGTTGAGTTCTCTCTTAGGAATCGATTCTCAAGGACCTTGAGAGCCCTGGCCAGCCAAGTGAAGCAGCAGAGGAGCTTCCTGACCCCGACAAGTCCGACGGCAAAGAATTAGAGTGGAAGGTTGAATCTATGACACTCTCCTCTCGCCGTTCCCCTCCTCACCCTCCCCTTTCTCTTCTTTCCCTTCTTTCCCCTCCTCCAACTTTCCATCTCCTTCTACCTTCTCCTCACTTCACCTTCTCCTTCGTTCGTTCCACATTGATCACATCTTCCTGCCCTTTCCCCTCCCGTGCTGCCCCCTCACTTGCTCTCTCCCTGTCCTCCCTGTCCCTCCCTCCTCCTCAATCGATCGGCAGGACATCGACAACGGCACCTACGAGGGAGAGTTTGTGGACGGCCAGCGCCATGGCCATGGGCTGCGGCGCTATGGCAACGGGGACGTGTATGTGGGATCATGGCAGGGAGGCAAGAAAAGCGGAAGAGGATTGATGAGGTACATGGACGGCAGCGAGTATGACGGTTTTTTCTGGGAGGGATGCTACCATGGAGAGGGGAGATGGAGGAGCGGGAAGGGATACAGCTACAGGGGATCGTGGATGAACGGGAAGAAGGAGGGAGAGGGAGCGTACTGGTGGTCAGAGGAAGGAGCAGCCAAGGAGGACTACTATGCTGGGAGGTTTCACGAAGACAAACCGCACGGGGCAGGCAGGAGGATTTTTGCGTCGGGGGCGTCGTACGTGGGGGAGTTCAAGGAAGGGTTCTTCGACGGGCAGGGAGTGATGAGGTACGCGGATGGCGCGAGGTACGAGGGACGATGGAGGAGAGACAAGAGGCATGGGAGGGGAGTATGGGAGGCGGTCAACGGGGAGAAGTTCAGAGGAGAGTGGGAGGAGGACGTGGCGATGGATGGGTGGGGAGTGATGGAGGACAAGGCGACTCGTTCAGTGTACACAGGGGAGGTGAGGAGCAGGAGACGGCACGGCGTTGGTTCCCTTGCCTACAAGGACAAACCTGAGACGTACGAGGGAGAGTGGCGGGAGGGGAGAAGGCACGGGCGGGGAAGGTCGGAGCATGCAGATGCGACCGGAGGATGGGGGAGCAGGTTCGAAGGGGAGTGGGAGCAGGACAGGGCGATCAGTGGGGAGGGGAAGCTCGTCTACTCCAAGTCCTCCTGGTACTCGGGCGAGATCCAACGAGGAGCGAGGCAGGGCAAGGGGACGATGCTGTACGAGGAGGGGGACGTGTACCATGGCGACTGGAAGACGAACCTGCGGCACGGCCATGGCTGCATGATCAGAGGAAGGGTAACGTACGAGGGGCCCTGGGTCTACGACGATGCCGGGGAGGAGGAGGAGCCGGAGTGGAGGCCGTACGAGGAGAGCAACCCTGCTGTGCTGCTGCTGTATGCGAGGAGGGAGTGGGAGGGCATGTGCAGCCTGCTGGCGTTTCCTCGGGGACGATGCGAACTCTTCGCCAAGTTTGCGGGGAAGGAGGAGGTGATGGAGGTCTGCTCGGGCCCAGCTCGACAAATGGCGGATGAGATGGTCAGGCTGGGGCACCTGGAGAGAGAGGTGGAGGAAAGCGACATGGCCAACAAGGTTGAACGCCTCCCTCCTCCTCGTACTCTTGCCCTCC